CCTACAGTATGATTCAGGTTAGTTCGCTCATCCTTTTTATACCCCAGTATCTTAAGCATGCTAGGCTTATATTTTTTTTCAAGAAAGTAAAAAAAATACAACTTTTATCCATATTCTGTGCAGTAAACATATTATCATTATTGTTATTCTTTTGATAATGATAATTATTACTATTGTAATGATCAAAATTATTATTATCACTTTTGTTATATTATTGTGATCCTTATACTTTTGTTCTTTTTTTTATTAATTCGTTTTAATCTATTTATTTCATATATATTTTTAAGGGTTTGTCCACCACTTCATCATATATATATTTAAAAAGATTGAGACACTTCGTTTTTAATTTTCAATGACAGGCTTGGACGATGAAAAGAAAGCTGAGAGTCACTCGGTTCTCCTTGCCGGACATCTTAATCTTGCAATGGCCTACCTGAAGCTGAATGACAACTCTCATGCAAGAGAACATGCCACCAAGGCGCTAGAGCTGGACAGTACCAGTGTCAAAGGTTATTTTAGAAGAGGGCAGGTGAGTAAATAGATTAAAAAAGAATTTAAGGTTCAGAATAAATGCAGGTGTAATAGTAACCCCGAAGCAAGATGTAAAAGGATCGTAACTGTTCTAACAACTAAACTATCATTTACAGGCGTATTTAAACATGGGTGATGCGGAGCAAGGGCAACTTGACTTTCAGGCGTGTCTTAAGTTAGACGAAAGCAACAAAGCAGCAAAGCATCAGTTACAGCTGTGTGCAGCGAAGATTAAGGCCGACAAACTGAAGGAGAAGAAACTGTACGGAGGCATGTTCGAAAAGTTTGCAAGAATGGACAAAGCTGTAAGTAGCATTTATTTTGATTCATTTATTAATTTTCTGTTGGTGAAATTGCAGTGATAGTATAACATTAATTAGATAAGATGTGATGATATATTAATGTTTAATTATTACAGGATGCTGGTTTCAGTTATGAGTATGATATGTTTCATGATTATGTTATATGTATTTCATTTATTTTTTATGTTTCATGATTACTGTAGACTTGTTTCTATTATGATATTCATACATTTAGTTCATTATGTATTTTGCTAAGTTTAGACTGTAGGATGATTTGTTTTGTTTGTAAAATATATAAACACTTCATTTTACGTTAAAAACAGACTATTTTTTTTCCCCTGATGTACATTCTTTGTATAGTATTTCTTTTCCAGAAAGAGAGAACATTCTCACAGTCTTCTCTTTCCAGAAAGAGGAAGCGGAGTACAACAGATACAAGGATGTGATGGCAGGTGATCTTGGGGAATGGGGTAATTCAGAGGAAAAGAGTGACTCGGGCAAGAGTGAGAAGAAAGAAAATTTTACAAATGCAAGCGATGATCCTAGTAGGAATGCTCTGTCAGGATTGGGTGACATTGAAGGCGTTCAGATGCTCTAAGGCTGACAGCTTGTTCTCAGTTAATCTACTCACACATATGCAGTGGTTTCATATATTTACTTTGGACTCAGTTGCATTTTGTTTCAACATTTGACTGTCTTTTGTAAACATTGTTGTCCCTTTACAGATTATTTGGTCACAACTTAGTGTTTGTAAATTAGGTAGGTAAATGGATTTGTGATATGTGACTCCAAATTATCAGATAAGGTTGGTTGTTATTGTAGCCTTAAATCAAGTGTATATTCAAATCACTAGCAACAAGTCAGATGTCACACTTAAGTGCCCTTTTTCAGTTTCATTTTTAGGACAAAAACAAACATTCCAGGAAAATATGAGAATTTGATAACCATATCATTTAAGAGGACTGAATAGTTATTATTGCTTATATGAAACACCAGTAATCCCTACTGCTTTTGTATTTGTTAGTTTAATTTCTGTTCATAAAGGGCATTCATGTTAAAGACATATACACCTGTATTTTGATTCCAGGTGAATGACAATATGAGCATGTCATTCCTCTTCTGTTAGAGGCATAATATATTCCAATAGCTCTTAACCGAGTTTGCATTATCCTTCAGTATTTTAATCATAAATTAGTAAAATGACAACTCTGATAAAATTTTCTTCCTTGGCTTTTGGAGTTTTCAGACAAGATGAAAATTTGGAACCAAATTGTCCTGACCTCAAAACAAAAGAAGTGGAACTACTACCATATGTAAAGAACAATACAACTAGATTTACCATGTCACAAGATGTATATACCATAATATTTCCTATTTTTATTCTGGGTGCTAATGCAGAAATGTCCTGCAATTCAAGTTCCCATTATCACTATGCAATTTTTACCTAAGCAACAACCAAAGCAGTCAAGCCAAGCAGTCAAGTTAAATGTAGCATTTCCAATATTACAACTGAAGATAACATCTATAGAGTTTTGAGTTTATCCTTCATTTAGAGGTGAATTACAGCTGAAATGCCATAAAAAGATAGAAAAAGCATTTGATTATATCGCCTTACTGATACTTGGTTAGTGACTCTTCTTTCCTGTCACTGGAATACTTTTGCATGAAAGTATTTACCCTCCTCCAAGGCATTTGTGTCACTGTTCTGTACATACATTTACCAAGTTCCAGTCAAGAGGCAGAAACAGTTTACTATTTCTTGTAATAGAACATGCATCAGTTACTAAATACTATCTCTTCCAATGTCCATTCTGTTTGCTTTACTTTGAAACCCAGAGAGAGGGAGAGGATAAGTAAGAAAATCTAAAAGATATTCTACAAACACCACCAGCAAACTTAGGCTGGAAATTCTCCAAATTTCCTTAAGCAAATCAGACTTCTCAGATATATAAATGAAATAAATAAATTAATATAATATTATATATTACCCCAGCAAATCCTGAGGTAATACATATTTGTGGCAACTCTACATGACCATGGTAAAATTATCATTTTTGTAATGTGTGTGTGTGTGTGTGTACTTCACCTGATTTTTAAAATAAAATGTTTACCTTGTAGCATGTGACTATGAAATGGCTTTATGAATCCAGCCGTTTTTAATGAAACCTTCGTTACACTGTTAGAGGATTTAAATCTATTTTCTGTATTACAGTGCCACCACTTCTATTGTAAGGAGGAAAACTCTATGTATAATGTACCATTAATTACTACTATTCTTGAACTTTGTCAACCATGAAAAAAGTGATATAAATGGTTAATGGTTAAAAGCAAAATAAATGTGCTAGACATCTAAGGTCATATAGCACTATGGAAAAGTATAGTAAAGGATGGTGACGAGTGATAGTTGCTATGCGTCAACTACCTAGAGTAATATTAAAGAAGGGTAAAGGAGCTAATGAATGAATGGGTTAGGGTGGTTTAGGTAAGGGAATTAGATCAAGTGAAGGATATGTATGCGTCTGAGGAAGGAGAGCAGGTTGTCAAAGCAGAAAGTAGATAAAGGATTGATTATAAGAAGAAAAGATATGATGAAGGTCTGGTCTGTGAGAATGGAAACCGCAAATACTCCAATGTAGGAGAGCTATATCTTAGTTGATTTATAAGTGATAACGTATATAGTATGTGTCGGGGAATTTGAAGGGGAAGGAGCTAGGGCGTGAGATAAGGAATTAGAGGGGGGGGGGTTGGTGTAGTATCAGGAGGGGTATCAGGTGGTGGTGGATCTGGGGAAGGGCATAGTTGTGACATAGGGATTCATGTGTGTATCCAGGAGGGAGTAGAACGGATAGAGGGGTAATGTAGGTGTTGGGAACAGGGGGATGGGTTGTGTTGGGAGGGAGTAGGAGAAAGTGGTGTAGGGGGAATATGAGTAGTAGGATGATGGATATTGGTAGTAGTTGGAATTGAGGGGGATGGGTTATGTTGGGAGAGAGTAGGAGGAAGGGGTGTAAGGGGAATATGAGTAGGAGGAGGATGGATATTAGCAGTCTGTTAGAGTGTGGAGGGAGCATGAGTTGTGGAATTTTGTGTCAAGCATAAGTTTTGAATATCTTCCATAGTTTCTGCAGTGCAGTTGGTTGCAGTTTTGTGAGAGAAAGGTTTTCTTATGAGGAGAGGAAGAGGAGACTGGTGTCTGAGGAGTAAAGGCAAAGATAGGTGAGTGAGTGGTAGGAGAAGAAGGGGTGGAACGTTTAGACTGTCTGCTGTGTGTACTGCGGGGAGGGGGAGGGGATGGTGTTGGGGCTGTAGTTGAGATTGGAGTGTCTGGATTTAGACTGGCAAAAGAATTTGACTGAGGAAGGTAAGAGGTAGAAGTGGAAGTGGGAAAGTAGGTAGGTATAGGAGAGGGTGTAGGAACATCTTGGGATGGAGCGGGAGGGCAGAGTTAGCAACATTACTAGAGTACGGAGTATGAGAGAAACCTTGTCGGTATGCTACCTGTCTGGCTTCATGTAGAGTGAGACCAAGTTTGTATCTGAGAGTTGCTACCTCAGACTCAAACTTGTAGGTGAGGCAGCCTCTATAAAATACATTATGGGAGCTGCCACAGTTAGCACATGTGCGTGTTTGAGCAGAGCAGTTTGATCGGTTATGACTGGGTTGGGCACATTGGGGGCATCGGGCTGTGGAATGGCAGTGTTTGGCAGGATGTCCAAAGTGCCAACAGTTTTGACATTGACGGGGAGGAGGTTGGTATGGTCGAACAAGGAAGTTGAAGATGGGTAAGGGGGTTGATGAGGGAAAGGGTTATGGTGGTTTAGGTAAGGGAATTAGATCAAGTGAAGGATATTTATGCATCTGAGGAAGGAGAACAGGTTGTTATACGAAGCAAGGATATGACGTAGGTCTGATCTGTGAGAACGGAAACCGCAAATATTCCAATGTAGGAGAGCTAGATGTCAGTTATTTTGAGTGAAAGCGCCGGTCCATGTTGGAGAATCTGGGGGGGAAGGACTGTAGATATGAAAAGGAAGGTCATGTCTATGGAAAGTAATTTTAGCAGTGTTGGTGGGGTTCTTTCGATGATTTCTAGGAGGAATGGAGTAGCACTGTACTGATATTACATAATGATCTTTAAGGCAGCCAAGTAAGTATTCTCCACAATCTGACCAATCGACATCCATAGGGCAGCATGCTGGGAAGATAGAAACAGTTCCACTACAAGTATTAAGAGTTGGATGAGGTTCTGCAAGAATGGGGTCACCAGAGAGATCAGTTAGATTTGAGAAGGCTACAGCTTCAGTTTCAGATGTAACTGTAATGAGACAGGAACGATCAGGGGGGATCACAGAAAATTGGGCTAAATAAAGTATTAAAGATATTTGTAGAGTTAGGGGTGGTTGAAGGACAGGGACGTGTGGAAGAGGGAGTATTGTTGAGGGGGGTAGTATTACAGAAAGATGGAGAATAAGGCTGTAAGGTGAGGATGGGGTGATTGATGAAGAAGGTTGTGGGGGTAGGGGTGATGAAGTTGAGGAAGTTGGGAGAGTAGGAATGTCTTCTAGAGATTGAGTCTCGACTTGAGTAGATACTGTACTGGTAGGCATTGAGGAGTGAGTAGTAGTTGCAGTGTTCAGAGTCGTGGTCAAAGGAGAGCCTGGGGTTGAGGTGCTGGGAGTTTGAGTTGGTGGGGCTATTTGAAGAAGGGGCAAGCCTCATTGCCCCTAAAAACAGAATTACATCTTCATTACTGGCTTTTGGAAGCTTTGACTATGTTGGGGAAATAAACAGTCCACCCCTCAGGGTCCCCTTGAGGGGTAAGGGCCAGACAACTAAAACGGGGATACCATGTCCATGATTCCCTCAGGCCGTTCAGGACGGAAATGAAAGAGCAGGTGGGAGAAAAGACCATGCAAAGTTAGGCCTGAGGCCCAAGGCAGGAGAGATCCCTGCAATGGGTCTCAGTCCCCATCTCCTAAGCCCACCCACGACAAAAAACAGGCAAGGGATTGAGGGGGGGGGGGGGGGAGTGATATAAATACAAATTTCATCACTGAAAATCTCACCAGGTGAAGAGGGAAAAATAAAATTACAATTTTAAATTTTCAATCAAATCAGAGGTTTCTACATTCAGCATTTATTATTCAAAATAATAACAAGTGCATAAATGACTACTGAACTGCAATATATTCATAACAAAATGTTTTCATTAAAGAAAACAGAATCCCAGCTGTAAACAAATAAACTGAAATCTATAATTTTAATGTAAAACATTTGCTTCCACATGATTATTTTCATGATCTTTAAGTAATGCATGAAATTTAATTGAATGCTATATTCTTTATGAAACCTATTTTTGTCCGGGAATGTCAGGCCACTGTAAATGATACAGTTTAAAAGAATCAAATATAAACAAAGCATACATAGAAAAACACAAACTGTAATCTGGACAACTGTTCAACTTGAACACAACATTGTGCTTTCTCTGTGATACGTAAAAGCCGTGGAAATATAAAGCTATAAAATTTTACTAATGTGATGCATCATTACTGTTGCTTTTATTTTTTTAACATGATCAGTGTGATCCTGTAACATAGTGAGGTACAATTTACATTGCAGGATCAAATGCTTAACTATGAACAATACAAAATCAAAGATTAATAAATTTCTTCCCATCCCTGGGTAATCGGTCCTTTAAAATTGCAAATCGAATGGTTTCCTTGGAAGTTTACATTCCATTTTATCTATATGGTATGGTAATTTGCACAGACAGCAATACCCATTCAAAACCTACAGCAACTATATAGCTGCAAAATCAGAATTTATCAATCCCTAAATTTATCTTTTGTATATTTATAAAGTCTTCTCATGTGGGTTGTGTAGCTCAGTTGGTATGAGCATGTGCAGTTACCTTCGTGCAAAGACCCAGGTTTGAATCCTAGTCGGAGAGGGCAAGTTATTTATTCAAAGCCTTCTCAGTTAACATATTGCTTGAAAGTATATAAATCTTTTATCAAATATTTATATGTAAATACAAAATCCGGAATTTTCATTCAGATATTCTCCTTTAACTTATATTCCTCATATTGTAATACCTTTATTTAAAGCACTGCATTTTGAGGCATTTGTCAATAAACACTCATACAACATGTACAGTGGACAAAGGTACTTCCAATAAAAAATATATAAATGCCGAGAAACAAGATATACAAAAATACCGATTCTTAAGACTGCTTTCCTCAACACAATATTTATCTCTACTAATACACCTTAACTAGAAGTGTGATGGCACTTGGCCATATCACCCCTTATTCTCCAAGCTCCTAGTGTGTAACGGAGCCAAATGATGACCAGATCTAGTCCCATCTCGATCCAACTAAGCACTGGGGTCATCTTAGTGCCTGAAAAAAACAAAAACATTGAGAGTAATTTTTTAAGTTCCTGATTTATTTAATATTTCTTCAAACAAACAAACAAACAAACAAAATATCCACTTTAACAAAATGTCAGTGTTGGAAAGACTCGTGTTCACATTTAGAGACACACCTTCGATTTCCTGCCATTCTACAGCAACTTCCGCTATGGGAATCCCTAAAACTTGTGCCAAGTACAGCATCTCAACATCAAATGCCCTGTAACAAGATCATTATAAAGTCATGATACATATTTGAAACTTGTAAACGAAAAAATCAATTACTTCAAATTAGCCACCTGATAACAAACCTGCCTTGTTTCATGGAAAAAGTAGCTTTTATTTGCAAGATATTTCTAAAGGCAACTTTGTTTGGTCATTTTAAAATACTGATTCTTGCCTTGATAGTTTTCCCCTCTTTAATGGTGTTAATAAAAAAGCTTAATAGACAATTGACCATCCAGTGAAATTATCAATCATGTAAAAATACACTGGTCACCATTTGTAAGTCATAAAGTAAATTCACCTACCATCTCTCAACATGTAAACTGTTGAATAAAATACGGGCAGATCGGCGTGTCAAAAGTTTAAAGCCACATTGTGTGTCTCGAACTCCACGCACTGCAAACAGCCACACCAAGAAGTGGAAGCCGTACATCAAAAGCGTTCTGAAGAATGTCCTCGTAGCAACAGACTCCTCTTCTAAATGAGCTCTTGATCCACATGATACAGCAATAGCCTCACTTAGTGTCTTCTCATCTGGTAATCAAAAATCTTACTTCAGCAAAATAAGAATGAGAATATAAGCCAAGTAATTAATGCAACAATTACTACATGTACTCTTACATAAAGAAAAGTTCATAGAAACCTTAGGTTGTGCCAGCCAACAGAACTATTGGCTATACAAAAGTGCTGGACTGTTAAACACTGCCTCCCTCCCACTTAAATCTAAGGGAAATGCTAAATAACTAAGCAAACACAGAGCATAATAAAATTTGAACCTGTATATTAATGTGACAGTAAAGTACTGATCAACAAAACCTTTTGCTTACCGGCACAAATATTCTTCAGACTAGCTTCCACTTTATCCAAGTCGGAGAATGTGGTTGCGCCATCAGCATCAGCAAAAAGAAGCATTTCTCCCCGAGATCTAAACACACCCTGGGATGAAATATTTATTCACTGGATTATTATCAAACATGCTAAGATTTTTTTTTTCTTTTCTTTTTTTTCTTAACAGGTTTACTATACATTCTATGATAATTCCATCTTGATATGACATGCTGTGTAAAAAAGAATATCTCACCATCCTCACAGCTCCACCCTTGCCTCTGTTCTTGGCCAAGGTCAATACCCTTACTTTGTCTGTGCCATACTTCTTCCCATACCCCAACCCAACCTGTGAGGTCTTATCTTTACTTCCATCGTCTACAATGATCACTTCATAGGTAAAACTGCTGTCAGTCTTTGCTCTTTTTTCTAGGTACTCCATACATTCATCCATCATAACTGGTACTGTAAGCAGGTAAAAAAGATTCAATAATGACAAATGTTTAGTACTTTTCAAAATCAGTTCAACACAAAAAATATTTCTTTTCAGCAGATCCAACTTGTACCAGCCAAATTTTATGCAAATATATAGCAGTCTACATATACTTACATCTAGCTTCCTCATTGTATGCTGGCACAACTACAGATAAGGACCTAGTTGGTGGATCTTTTATTGATGGGAAATCAAATTTCTCTCCAATTCCTGGATCTTCATACTGTTTTTCACTCTCATAGACTTTTATGGTAGGATACATTTCACTGTTGATATAGACTATAACACAGACCTGAAAGTTAAATGCATTAGGGAGATTTCTATGGAAAATACTGGCGTATATCCACAACATGTACACAATATTTCATCAAATGAGCCTTGTATCAAAACAATATATACATGTAAAATTAATAGTTTGTCATGATTTTGTACTTACAGCAATAAATGCAGCCATTAAAAGTGCCACCAGGTACACAAGAAGAATTAGGACGTCCATTTTTCTCTAGCTGTCTTTTTCCTGAAATAAATACATTATTAACAAATACTTTTCTAAAGGCTTCATCTTTCAAGTTACATACATGTTTATAAGATTTATTCAATAAATTCTTGCAAACAAATTTTGTAATCTAAATTAAGTTGACTCATTCTCGATGGTCTGGGAATATCTTCTTAATTTCTAAACCGTAACAAATAAAGATCTAACAAATAATACTAAATCAGTTAGCTTTCATCATCTGAGGTATTCTTTTAATTCAGTGAAGATGGATGCCACCTTTTCATAAATGGGTGCAGGATGGCACCTATATGTGCAACAACAAAATCTATCTAAATCTTATCTTTCTATACTTTTGCTGAAAGACAAAAAATTGGCATGTCCATAATCAATGCCAAAACACTGTTCCTGAAATTCAGATTATCTACTTGTGCAAGTGAGCCTGAAATTAACCCCAGGAGCAGCCAGTGTGCTCCAACTCTTTCCCAGCACCACTGGGTCAATATCATCTGGTTGCAACTGCTTTTTCATGGTTATGCCTCTCGATTTTACTTATTCAATCATTTATTCATTCTCTCTCTCCCTCTTTCTTTCCCTCTCCCTCTCCCTCTCTCTTTTTAATATTTTCTCTCATTCATATCTATTGTATATCCATTTTTTGATCATCTGAATTTTCTGGTTCAAACTGAAAATTTTCCACAGTACTCTTGCTCTGATTTATCTCGGCCCCATCTTCTACATTTGTAGTCAACCTTACAGTACTTTTTTTTAAATAAAACATCATGCAGTTTTGAAAAACATGTAGTCAATTGTAAACCTCCTTGGCAATTAATGTCAAATAAGGTACCAATCCAAATATCTATCTTGCCAGAATATACATATTGGAGGTTTACTGACGTCTGTGAGAGCACAGAGCAGAGGCTTGGAAGTATAGTTTTAGTGTCTGACAACAGGACTTTCACAATGGACAGTATATGGAATTAATAAATCATTGAAATCTAAGAAAATTATCATATTTGACATTTCATGCACAAATTTAGAATAAAAAAGTCCTTTGAAATACAAATTTACTCAACGACGAGGAATACCATGGCTCCGCCAGGACGTTCATGACTCGCACAAAGTCAGTCTTTCATTCTTTCAACATTGCTCTCACATCATAGGAAGTGGATAGTAGAAGGGGCAGGAGACAAGAAAAAAACAGAAAGGGAGGGGAGGGGAGACGGCTCTGTAAAATTAGCCGAGTCAAGGATTGAGGCGATTCCCAGCATTGTGTCCCAATCTCCAACTCCTACGTCCCCCCACAGCAACAATGGGCATGGGATGGAGGGGGGGGGGGGGTTAATAATAAGAAAGTTGTGGAACACTCAATACTTTGATATACATTTACATATTGATTGCACTAAAATAAGGAAAATCTAATAACACTGATACATAAAGTAATCTGGGCAAAGAATACGATCAGAAATTAAGAAAAAAGATAGAAACAGATGCTGGACTGAGTGTGTACACAGTCACTGGGTGTGGATGAAGGGGTACAGCCCCTGACAGGGATATACAGAAATTAGGTGGTGGTCTGATGACGAAACCCCAGGGTTTGGAAGGCTTTAGGTTCATATGGATTCCCAAGAGAAGCTGGAATAATAGGGACTTCTCGTCTTGCTCGTCCAGACAAGTTGGACAAGAGGTTTCAAACGTTCACAACCTCAACCTCTAATTTCTCGGCATAAAAATGTTGTCCATCTTGTCCATCTCCCCCTCCTTCTCAGCTGGGCAAGCAGGACAAGATGATGTCACAATAATATCTGTAAGAAACTGATAAGTAATTTTATTGTTCTTTATTAATGTTATCAAAGGACATTTTCATGTTTGTCAGTTGCAGGTTAATAATGCATCAAAGGAGCTACAAATCTAAGCATCTTGTGAAAAAAGACAGCAGTATGATAAAATAGTGAATGAACTGTTTCATGTTGACTGATATGGAAAGGTATGAATGAGAACGAATATCTTCACAATACAAGAGATGTATTTTTCCCGTTTCGATTATATCTTCATCAGAAATACATATTTCTGACGAAGATATAATCGAAACTCGTAAAATACATCTCTTGAATTGTGAAGATATTCGTTCTCATTCATACCATTCCACATCTGATAAAATAGTGAATGTTTACGTTCGATCTGGTTGCATTCTGGGCTGCAAAGGCCTTGGAGGTTCTGGACAAGCAAGACGAGGAGTTCCGACCACAGCATTAGTCTCAGAGGGGTGAGGTCACTTGTAATCAATTACGAATACTTTCACTTACATCCTCTATGCTGGTAAACAATAGATCACACTTGCTGCAGTGTAACTAATTGAAACAAGAAATTATGATTGCAAGGTTGAATGGTTGTGTGAAGCTAAAAATCACTTTCTTTATTATTTTAAATGCGATTCTTGGTTCGGGCTTTTAATTTTTACACTTCATTATTTTAAATGCGATTCTTGGCTTGTGTGTTTTTCATTTTTGCACTTTCTCTTACTTTCAAGATAACCGTGAAATATCCCCCAAAAAGGTTATTTTTGTGGGAAATTTTGGCTCATCTTTGCGATAAATGGGTTTTCTTTACAGTTTTACAATCAAAGCTTGCGTGGGAGACCTATGTATGGTCCCCCGCCCTAAAACCCCCGATTCCCCACGCGTCCCCCAAGATCGTAGGGGATAGGGGGAAAAATACAGGAAAAAGCGAACATTCCATCTCCTCTAGAATTACCATAAACTTCCCATTTCTATTTCTGAAGCATTGCTAAACTGATGCTAAAAAACACATTGTTCTTTTGCCCATATGGTGCATTATTTCTCCATATGCTTAAACCAAAGTTATACTAAAATGTTTAAACTCCCTAGCACCTTCCATTAGCCTCCCCCCCCAAAAAAAAACATGTCATATCCTTAAACATAAACACTTAAACACCAAAAAAACACAACTTTTCCAAACCAGTCTCTCACTCACAGACGAAACACAATTCCAACGATAATATTACCTCAAAAACCTCTCAAGTTCTCTTCCTCTCTTCACCTCTCATCTCCCGGCTCGAGGCGACGTAATTCACGCACAAACCGGTTTCCTTTTCCTCTCGTGAGGTGAGAGTTGGGCGGTTTTCTGGGTCTCTCTTCCTCTCTCTCTCTCTCTCTCTCTTTCGCTCAGCTGTTTGACACATTGCCTTCCGGCTGATGTTGTGTTCGGAGCGTTGCGTTCTGACTTCCGTTCCAGAACTCTGGGCTATTGTTGTGTGACAAATGATAAAAATTCAAACTTTGCACTAGTTTTTCTTCCTTTTCTGGTGTGTAATAGAATAGTGCGTAGACTCTGATTCTTGTAGTGAGTCAAAGTAATTCTCACGTGAAATTTAAGTATTGGTCTATGCTTCTATGTAAGTGTATATGCAAAAAGCTACATATACATTTACAATATATAGCTTAATACAAAGACTAAATGGTTTTGGATTTATTTCAGTCTGATTCGATGGCGGAAGAGAGAAATTCACATTGTGAATTGTACAATGAAAGTCTTCCAAGCGTAATTCACGTGTTAATATGTATAATGCAATGTCTAGCCCCTGGCTTTACGAATTAAGAAAACTATTTAATTTCCTATTCACACAAAACAAATTAAATGCTCTTACAATACTTGAAAAGACTAAACATTCTAGAATGGATTACACCAAATCATTAATAAAGGAAGCCCCTTAGCTTGAAATTTTAAAGCCTAGAGTTAAAATGGACAATGAAATTTACTGAAAACATGTACTGAAAACATAAACATATATCCATATATATATACACACATGTCTATCCACAATACACAAATCCAAACATATCTACAGAGAGAAATCTAGCAATCCGCCTCTTATCACAAGGAAGTAGAAGCTCATACGACAGGATCCAGACGCGTGGAGAGTACGTGTGTGGCTGTCGTTGGTGTTGTGAGGATCTCTGCTTCTCTTCATTACACGTGGTTAGTATCTTATGAATGACTTAGCTTACAAATAATGTTGTGGTGTACATGAACTGTTTACGAGTTCGTGGGTTTAAGTTTTTTTTTCTAAGTCTCGCTTTTAGGTCATGACAGGGGCTTGTTGGTCATGACAGGGCTTTCCTGGAGGAATGTTGTCCCGTTTGTCATGACTGTGACTGCATGACGATGGTATAGAAACTCTATATGCATTTTAATCGGCCCTCGTTCCCACAAACGTTACATGTGACTCAACTTACTTCACACCCTTCAAAACGTTTTTGACCAAACAAATACGTTTTAGGATGACACGAAACTTTCGTACGTGTACATACGTTTTGTGTTTCCACTCACAAGTTCTCAAATAGTAAATAATATTTTGTCGAGGACTGCGTTTAAATAGTCTTTGGGAAAAATAGGGTAAAGTAACAATCAAGGTCCATATAAGTACGTATGTAAACTTTGGTAATAACCCCAGATTTCGTTTTATTGTTGTGCGCGGAGTAATAATGGATATAATCATCTTTATTCGTCGACTTCCTGTATACAGAAAAACGAATGGTCTTCGTCACCCCGATGGATCAGACGAATAAAGATTATTATATCCATTATTACTCCGCACACAGCAATAAAACGAAATCTGGGGTTGTGATTGGGTTCTTCCTCCGGGCTCTGAGGATTTGCAGCCTCGAGTTCCTTGAAAGTGAAGTTACCTATGTAATTGATTCTTTCATGAAACACAAATACCCCAAAGGTCTCCTGCTGAACCTCAGAAAGAAGGCGGAGAACATACAAGATCCAACCCTGTGATGTCTTCTAATTTTCTCGCATTACCTCCATATAATCTCTCCCAGGCGATCAGCAGATACTTTGTCAATACTATGAACATCGCCAGCACATCCGGGGAAAAGATACATGACCTAATACGAGAAAAACAACAGAAAAGCAACCCCAACAGTGCAATATACCGCATACCCTGCATCAGTTGCGATAAGGCCCCAACAGTGCAGTATACCGCATACCCTGCATCAGTTGCGATAAGACATACTTTGGTGAAACTAGACGTGGCTTCAACACCAGGATCTACGAACATCGAGCCGACGTCCGTCACCACAGGACTTCCAACGCCATGGTGGTTCATGTAGTTGAAGTTGGACGTCTACCTAACTGGAAAGAAGCTGAAATGATCCATGAAGGATTAAGCAAATACAAAAGGAAGGTCATAGAAGCTGCTTACATCGCGACACAGAAAAATATGAACACCGCATCGGGTAGATTCAAACTATCCAAGGTCGCGGCAGCAATTATGCGCACAACGAGCGCGAGGTCACGGTCATCAGGTGATTCATCAGTTCCCATGTAATATAAATATGCTGTGTATTCTCCCAAATGTAAGCCTCCAGGCTAGTACAGTGGTAACGTGTCGGCCTCTCACCTGAGGGGTCGGCGGTTCGCGCACCGCCCAGGCGCGAGAAGTTGCAATTGTATTCCGTGGTTACTGCTGTGGTGCCACACTCGATCGAGTCACATTTGTCGGCACAGGCCGGCTCCCCATAGCCCGGGCCGAGGCTGAGCTCTCGCGTATCGACTTATCCTTACTTATCCCAAATGTATGTATTTCTGACGAAGATTTAATCGAAACCGGTCAAATACATCTCTCTTGTATTGTGAAGATATTCGTTCTCATTCATACCTTTATATATATGTATATGTATATATATGT